AGGGTAGGGTAAGGTAGTAGGTACGTGTGTGTGTGTGTGTGTGTGTGTGTGTGTGTGTGTGTGTGTGTGTGTGTGTGTGTGTCTGTGTGTGTGTAGGGAGGTGTCTTTTACGTAATAATCGATATCACGTCCGTGTCAAATGTAAATCGATACTATGAAATATTAGATGTGTTGTTGTTGTTGTTATTATAAGGATATTATTTTATGCAGGAATCATCGCCACACACATGTGAGTAACAAACTGAGTGTATTTGCTTTTCTCTTGCAGCAATCATCGTACAAAGTGTGGGGGGAGGAAAGAGTCGAGGGCGCCGTGTACGTGGTTTACCTGAAGAAGGTGCGCTATCACTGCTCGGCAGCCGTGCTACAGGTAAGATTGACTTAACTGTTACGTTTAATCATCACTGAACAGGTATATATATATATATTGTTTACTTTTCAGCATGTATATATATATATATATCTTTTATTACATATCGTCAGGTGTGTTTTTGATTGATTGATGTTTCTCAGCAAGTATGTGTTAGAGGGGGTATATATATATATATAACTTCATCTCTGAGTAAGTATTTATATTCTATTTCTTCGCAGCACGTATATACTCTATGGCGTATAATCTGAAAGAGGTCATTATCTCGCACGTATATTACAGCAGGCATGTATTTGTTTGCATCCCAGCAGGTATCTTTTAGATAATATCGCATAAGGTATATAATAGATAATTATGCCGCTAGGTATGTAATAGAACAGGTATATATTTGATTGCTTCTCATCAGGTATGCATTAGATTATTATCTCATGAGACTTACGTGTGCGGTTTCACATCCTACATCTGACAAGCACAATTTTTATATAGCCCCGGCACCAGCCGTTACTACTACACACGGAAGATTATGATCACGTAGCATTTCTATTATCATGCAGATAATAATCTGTATATAATGCAGATAATGCTATAAATAATATAGACGTTACATTCATGGTTGTTACGACTTTGTTATTTCCGACTGGCGCGTGCCACGATATTTTTTTGTCATTTTAAATGTTTTTTTAATCACATGCCTACTCAATGCGATCTCAGACGTTGAACGACATTTATAGCGAACGATAGATCATTGAAGCTGGAATAGTTTAAATATTAAGCTCTAGCAGGAACTTCTTTATAAACCAATAATCTATCAATCCAGTCTATAAATCGATAAGCTCCACACGGTTACGTTGTAAATCTCTACGCTAAAAACCGGTGCACTATTAATCGATACTTTATAAGTCGATATGCCATGAACAGATACGCTATAAGTCGATGTCCAATAAATCGATATTATATAAATCAACACGCTATAAATCGATGCTCTAATTCAATACATGTAAATAGCAATTATTGACTATCACCATGCACGTATGTGCATAGATTCGCTAGAAACTCAAGCGAGGTTCGGGGTATAGGTAGCAAGCTAGCGCTGAACATAGCAATTAATTCCTCATCGGGGAAACAAAACGAGAAGGTAGCTCTAGCGAGATGACCCCGTGACGCTGGCAGTGAGTTGTCGATCATAAATTACTGCATTGTATACGTTACGGAATGCAGTCCCCACGTGTCGCTCCCAGCTTATGCCCATGACCTCTTCTTCGACGCATGTACAAGCACCATGACCAGTTTGGCTTATTGCGGGCCAAAGTTGCTCCGCCAAGGTCCGCCTTTCTTAATCCTTGAGGCCACTCTCGGGGGCGAGGTGAAGCTTATGCAAGTAATTTCGTGATTTATATAAATTAAACTTGGATTAATAATGACGTCATGGAGATCCAGCCGCCATAGTCCGATCACGTGATGTTCGGATGTTCTCTCTCTCTCTCTCTCTCTCTCTCTCTCTCTCTCTCTCTCTCTCTCTCTCTC